CACGCATACACACAAACAGAGTCGATGGTACGCCAAACCAATAGCGGGGTACTCACTATTTAAGACAAGATTTTTTGCATCTTTCGGGAGAGACATGTCGCAGAATTTCTGCCGGTTGTTCCTGGTGGGATTGAAGATTTCCATTAGTACACCTTCGTCTAAAATTTCATTTGGTATATTGCTACTTGTTACGTTTAAGTAACACTTATTTAGAAAAGTTCGGAAACACCCATGAAGTCCTGCCAATAGTGCAACCAGCAAAACTGGAGTACGTCTGCTCTATTACCTAGTACCTGCGTTGCTGTTGCTGCCAGCAGGGTAAATAGGTGGCTCCTAGGGGAGTTCGGGGTACTTACTGTTTAAGATGACAGTCGTTGCATCTCTAGAGAAAGGCATGTTGCGGAATTTCTGCCAACTGTTCCTGGTGGGATTGAAGATTTCCACCAGCGCGCACTCGGTAGGCCAATCCTCGTCACGATTCAGAATACAGAGCACCTCGGTAGAGAGTTGGCGGTAGGCACGGTCAGATTGGGCGCCCCGCGAGATGGCCTGTTGTTCCTCCAACATCCCCGTCGTACGTAGAAGTTTGGTCTGCTGTCCGAGATCCCTGTGTAAAAGTGCGCGGCATGATTAGTAACTAAGTGTTACGCAAAAATGTTAAGTAAGCAAGGCTACCCACGATAGACGATAAGAAAAAAGCTAAGCATTACTGAGGCTGTCAGTCCTGAGTGCGTACACTTACCTACTATACTGGGTCCAGGAAGTGTTTAAAGTATGCCAAGCTTCAAATGGACAAAAACCCTAATAGCAATGCGCGCGTTATCGTATTATGCAAACGCGAGCTACACGCGTGCTTGATTGGCACTGGTTGGGGTAATTACGCAACCGACAGATACTTATCGATTTTTGCATGCTATCACGCGCGGCGGACACCATTGTGACGTGGCGCAATCTGCTGATAAGCCGCACAAGCGGGCTCTCGTTTTCTATGACTGTAACTCCGGTAAACCTGCTGTTTATAGCAGTTTTCTTCAGCATGTGGAAGCCCTCATCAAATAGAACATAACGACGACGTGGCCTATCTGGGAGGAAGGTAGTAGTTGGTGCAGTTCGGCATCCGGACAAGTAACCCAGCGATGGAGCAAGAGCGGAGTCTGGACAGAATACATCTATATCAACACTGACACGAGACGGAAGCGCCACAACCAGTGAAGTTATTTGATTTTCCGTTCGAAGTTCAGCCCAATAAAATCTTCTTTTGCGTTCCCTACTTGTACACGAGTTTGTTGGCGAGGCCAATTGTTCCGAGCCATGAGGTGGGACAGGTTTTTTAAATATGCAGACAGTGAAAAACCTCCTTGGTTATTTTTAGGAGATAAACTGTCGCTCTTCTATCTAGTCAGCATTGCTGACACATATTTGCGACCCTTTTCTTTTATAGAGCCATAGTGGTTTCTTTTTGATTATTCCCTGATCGTTTTATGCAATTGTTTCATTTTCATATGAACGTCGAGAAGTTCTATTGATTCTTTTTACTAAACCTGCGCAGATATCAATATTTCACCGGCACTGTTTAGCGAAACATAATGATCTGCACGCTACAAGTCTTATAGTTCCGCACGGGTGCCAACTCCTGTCGAAAATGAAACCCGTAAAGATATGGAACATGCGAATCTAGTTGCTCTCCAGGTTACAGTAACTCATAGCCTACATGACCTCTGCCTGTAATAAGTCAGTAAAGTAGTCATTCACTAATACTGCGAACTGCTGAGGATGCTACTTTATAGCCCTACCCACATTAAGTCAACATCCTGACGCAGGTTATCGTCTGTACCTATGCAGAAAATTTTATGACATAAATGCTGGCCCCGAATGCTACATTGTTGGCAGCAGTTTTAGGCATTGATGTTTTGAATATGCTTAAGGTAGGTGCATCACAAATAACGGCCAAAGTCGAAACAACTGCTCTCTTTCTGGGGTTGTTACGAGATCCCTTATCTCACCGATTAGCGCACTGCAGTCATAGTCAGTGTATGCCGGCTTTGCTGAAAGGCAAAAATGCCTATTGGGAAGACTGCACTATGAAAAGAAGAGTCACTTCTACTAATTATAGGCTATAACTGAAGTATAATTTCTTAAAGGAAGGTGGACAATTGCGGTTTGCCTTCGCATCCACTGCCTCGCAATGAATCACTAAATATATATTGACTCTGAGCACCCGCCCTTATTACCCTTGAAGCACCAGTT